TGTGTATGTTTGGGCATAAAAAAGATCTTCAAACTTACAAATCTCAAAGTCCACTACAAAGGGAGATATTTCGTTAAAAAAAAATCCCTTTTCAAGAACTACAACGAACGGCTCGTTTTGTGATATCAATCGAATGGTTGGGGTCGGGGAGGTGCGAGGTCGTGGTTAGAACACTTGGTTGAGTGCACCAGACAAGACGACGATGAAGAAGAAGTGCTGCTGTAGCCTCAAGTTTTCGCAATTTATAACACATGCACCTGAATAATTATGTATGTAAATGTGTATGTTACAATTATGAAAACGTTTTTAAAATAAATTGCTGACAGTACAATGGACAATGATGTAATCTGCAGAATTTACACTTCAATTATGAGACTACAGTGTTTCCCATACATTGAGTGCGGGTGTTTGTATATCACTATATGTCTGAAGGAAACCGATTGTCTTCATAAAATTGGATGTCATTTTCATTTAATCTTGCATGTAATGTCTGATAAAGCAGTGTTTTTTTGAGCAGAGCGCTGCTTTATGTACAGCGTTACCGGGGAAACCTTGATCTCTACCACTCCAACAGCGCCTTCTGCTGGCAGAGAATGAGTTTGCATATATATGCCGCCTGGGAAACACTGGACTATGTTATAAATAAATTCAACAGTATAACTGTTTCACTGCAATTCATGTTATAATGTTAGAATTAAATAACAATAAAAATAATACATATGCACTTCTCTGTACATAGTAAATGCAGTTATTTTTAAGCGGTTGTTGACATCCTATCTAAAACGGGATTTAGCAAAAAAAACAAAACAATAACGTTACCACTCTCATATGTCTTGCAATATCTGTGCGTGCAAAGGTTCTGCGCAATCCTCTTGTTCAATATTCTCTGGGTCTGAATCCGGCTCAAATTGATATGGCAATATGGATGCCATACTTAACTAAACTTGCTGCTTTGGCAAGGGGCGGGGCAGTACTGAAACACAGTCTAAGCTGTTCGCCAATCACAACGCACTGGGATAGCTAACCAATCACATCACATTTAATTTTTTCGGAAGGCGGGCCTTCATCAAACCCGGAATCGAGCCGTTTGTGCCAGACTGGGGAGAAAGGTATTGTAATAATGTAAATTATGTAAAAAAAAAAGAATGCGTTTTTCGAACCACCAAGCATGAGAGCATGTTCTAGTACACCCCCAAAACAAATTCAAGACATTGAAAAAGAGCATAATAGGACCCCTTTAAAATAATACCAAGGGATATTATTTTTTATTTTAATTTTAGCATCTCCATGACTAAAAGGGAAGCTGAGGTGGAACAGTGTTCATTTACTGGAATGAAACCAAGCCAAGCTCGTCATTCATCATTCCTTGTGGTTTGCCAAGTCCCCACAAAAATTAAGCTTCACCAACATGTTCCACGGATACTCAAGAGGATGCATACTAAACCAATATGTACACGTTTCTCTCTCACTCTCTCACACACACAGCTTTACTTCTTTACAGCTATAGTCAATCATGAGCCAGCAGGTAATCGATGGTGTGTAAATTATGGTTGAGAGCAGAAAGAGGGCATTGATCTACAATGCAAAAGCAAGTGCACTCTCCACAACCACTGAGAGCGTTCCTTAGAAACAGTACGCACATGTATTATCCACCCCCTTAAAGGGGCATATGGCAGCTAGGCTATATGATTCACTGCATAAATCAAATATGGTGCCCATGACTAACCTAATGTTGAGTTAATAACATGTTGTACGTTTTTTATCCATTTCCTTGTTGAGTGCCTTCTTAAGCAACCAGTGTATTCTTTGTAAATGAATTTGCTCTTTTACTAGAATGAGACTAAGACTTTCAAAATAATTTTCTGTGTCAGCTCAAATAGATGTGGGGTTTATGATATCGCCTAGCCACAATACTGCCAGTGCCTCATAAAGCAGTTCTTCCATCTATACATTTATCCCCTTATTTCGCACAGCCTTATCACACAGGCTATAGTGCATTTCAACATCAACCATGCAATCACTGCTTAATTTTGCATTATCAACAAAGTAACAATTCAGCTGAAATGTCATTAGACTCAGGCTATAGTGCATTTCAACATCAACCATGCAACCACTGCTTAATTTTGCATTATCAACAAAGTAACAATTCAGCTGAAATGTCATTAATATTGAAATTTGAAACTTCCACATCATTGCATTCTGTTTTTATTCACAATTTGTACAGTGTCCCAACTTTTTTGGAATCGGGTTTGTAGAAGTAAGCTGACAGAAAGAAGAAAGGATTAGACTGAGTGGCAAGAAAGAGAGAGAGACCCAGACGGGTATCAGCTGGGGAGACACTGTGCTAATGAAGCCACAGAGGGGGCTGGCATGTGAGACAGGGACCACCTCTAGTTTAGACATGGATGTCATAGACATATCTGTAACATAACTCAAGCACCACCCTGCTAATTTAGCATGTCCATGCCTTTATACCTATTCTCAATAATGCCTGTTCTATAACAAAACTAATCAAATCTAACTGCATGACTACAGCATACAGCACTTATATTGACAAATTCCACAATTGTGATTTGAACTGTTAAATGATATAACATCTCATATTCTGATGCTTTAAATATCTTAAAGGTGACATATCATGCAAATCTGACTTTTCCAGGTTTTAAGTGCTATAATCAGGTCCCCAGTGCATCTACCAATCAAGGAAATGTGAAAAAGATTAACCCAGTAACTTTGTTTTGGTAAGCTTTTTTCTGCAAGCGTCTGAGAAAACGAGCGCGTCTGATTTCGCTCCCTTGGTGACGTGGCAAAAGGATCTCATTATAATATTACCGCCCTTTAATCTGTAAGTTTACACCCACGGCGCCGTTATTGTGTTTTCGCAAGCGCAAACGGTGTATTAGTTCTAATTCCATGGCGAAAGTTTGAGCAAAACATGGTAACTGTTCTGTCATTGGCTGCACAGAACACTATTTAGAGTCCCAGCCTCAGAGGAGACAGCAGTGGATTTATTGATTTATTTACTGTATATTGCTGCTGCCACACAGATCTAAATAAAACACGCAATTTATTTCCCAGCTGTTTACCTTCACAGACATAACTGACTGTTTTTGTAACTCATGTGTGTTTTTAACGTAAACTTGTGTGTGAATGAGAACTTAGTTTAGTACTCACATGCTGTGACAGCCGCTTTCTGTACGTGTGCTTCGGATGTGTGCTCTCAGAAAACCGTATATCAGAAGTTTAAACTCATATGGTTTAAAACACATGATTTCAGCGCGATAAACATGATAATCAGAACCAAAACAGATGTTTTAGCAGGTACGAGCTGTAATGGCGCAGCTCTATTCTGGAAAAGGGGGCGGGGAGCAGCAGCTCATTTGCATTTAAAGAGACAGGACCGAAAACCAGCGTGTTTCTGCTTCCACTCAAAATAGGCATTTTAAAATGATATAATAAATGATCTGTGAAGTATTTTGAGCTGAAATTTCACAGACACATTCTGGGGACACCAGAGACTTATGTTACATATTGTAAAAAGGGGCATAATATGTCTCCTTTAAAAATAAAGAACAAAAAATTATTAAAATCACACTGAAAAAGCAGCTCTCAAAACTTGTTCTTCTACCGAGAACTGGAACTCTTTCAGCTGACCCAAAAGAGGAGAGAACTCAGTATTCTTACACTGCACATGGATTGAAAGTGGACTTAGATCCCTTTTATGTTCTCTTTAGTTGTAATATTGTCTCCATCTACTTTCCAAGAACAGATTTCTTTATTTATTCATTTATTATAACATGCTGTGCTATTGTTTGCACAGTACAACCCTCTCTGGAAGGACATCTTTGACAGTTGAGATATTTTTTGAGTGTCCAGTTACAACATTTACATTTATGCATTTAGCAGACGCTCTTATCTAAAGCAACTTACATTGTACTCCAGTTAAACATTTGATCAGTTCATGCTTTTTCTGGGAATCAAACCAATGACCTTGCCATTTCTAGCACCATGCTCTGTTTGAGCTACAGGAAGGCTGCATTTGCCAATTAAGATGCAGAGTAAAAATGGCCAAACTTAAAAACCCATAGAAAGACAACTGACTGTCTTTGAATGCAGCAATATATCTTGTGTAAATGCTCCACAGAAATGTGTCTGATCAGGGCCAGGTAAAAACAAAACCACATAGAGCTTCTCTAAGATTTATTTATTAATTATTATTAAAGGGAAACCACTTTCTGATCAATTATTAAAAAATGTACATCCCAAAATTAAACCATAGGTTTTGCAGTTCAAAAGGCCATTTCACAATTTCAAATAAACTTGTTCTCTGCTTAACTTGGATTTTTGATGGTGTTTGAATCCCAGAAGCACACACACATCTAAAATATTAATTAGCAGAAAATCAAATGCATATGAAACAGTGAAGACAATAATGATTCAAGAGTTGACAAAGCCATTAGGAGCCATGAAACAGCTGGTGAGCCCCTGTTCCCAGGGATTCCCTCTCTGTCCAAGCTCTGCTCTTCCACCTGCCATTAAACCAGATTGGAGTGAATCGCAAACACTCTCAGTCATCAACCAGAGGGATGTAGGGGAGGGGCCTAGTAAACAATAATTGCAAAAAAACACTAGAGACAAGAGTCCCTCAACCATGCCGCTCCCATGACCTCGGGCTTAGAACGAGACTTAAGAGGTCAATGGCAGGCTTTGTTAGGGAGTAGCAGGATGGGGGACACAATCCCACTCTCAGTCTTTAAATCATAGCCACTCTACACTTCTACATCCCAGCTGGGCCATGAGGAGGAATACAATCTCTCTATCAAGACACCAAATGATAAAAAAATACCACAATTCATCTCTATTCGCAGACCTGACATTGGTCAAGTGAAAAGCCTGTCAAAATAAATATCTTAGTTTCTCCTTCAAAAACAGAACATGATTCTCACCCGTGTGCCGTTTGCTGGTGGGCGTCTCGGGAGGAGAGATGACCCCGGACTGAGTGCAAGCAGAGGTCGGGTTCAGAGCGCCTGTAGGTAAAGGTTGACCCCTCTTCAGTAGCTGCCTCTGCTCCTGCTGTCGGAAGCGTGGAGGAACCTCTCTGGGCACGTATCGGGGACTGGGCTGCTGTAATGGAGGTAAATGCTGTTGGAGGGAATTACAAGGGCTACGCTTGCCATTGCTGGTGGTGGCAGTAGAGGGTACAGGCAGGTTCAGGGTCAGAATGGGGCTTGAAGGGATGCTGGGATTGGGTTTAACAGAGTCTGGCACTGCAAGAGAAGTGGAAATTTAAAGACAAAATCCAAATTTAGATAAATGAATTTTAAATAAGTGGCAGTATATCAAACTACAATAAAATGCCAATCATCTTATTTATAGTCTTTGTTAAATTTTTTAAGCTGCATCACAGAAGATTTTTTTTTTTGTTAAAAATGAGCAAAATGTAACTACTGAACAAGTACATATCTATAAAAAATTTCAGCTCATATTCTTCATATTCTTGAGAATTCATGAAAGAAACATCAACATCTGTTTCATGAACGAAAATCATTTTGATGATCATTTCAAAGAAGCATTTGTTCAACTTTGCAAAATGCTCTAAATAATTTGCTGACGAAACAGAATGATCCAGTACTTAATATTAACTGACCAATTCAATGGTCCAGCTGCACTGGTTAAAGGGATAGTTTAAAAATGAAAATTCTGTCATCAATTAATCCTTATGTCATTCCAAACCTGTGCATCTTACTTTTTTTTTAAACACCAAATAGGATTTTTTTTTTTTGCGTTAGCTGATTTTGTCCATACAGTAAAGGTTAATTTGATTCAATGGGATTTTGTGATAGAATTTTCACTTTGGGGTTAATTATTTCTTCCTTAATTATTCTTTATTTAATTCACTGGAAAGGAAGATCATTATTAAATAACTGTTTAAATTTCATTTTTGTTTGTCACACAGATCTATCAAATGGCATCGGAACTTCTGGAATCTAGCACTCATATTTATTGCACTTTTGTTTCCTTTTAAAGCTTGAAAAGTTCAAACCAGTGATAAGTACATGATTCAAACTTTCTATTACTGCTTCAAAGTCTAAATGGCAAAAACCTACATGAAAAATATATTATTTTAAATAAATAAACAAACATATGTCAATGCCTGTGCATATTCAGAAAGAGATCTCCTCAACAGTGTTTAATATGAATGCTGTAGAGGAAGAGGAGGATGTGGCAGTCCTCGACCTTTGACCACAAACCACTCAAAGAAAAAAAAACTGTCTAAGCTCTATTGTGCTGTGCATCTCATTACTGTTCAGAAAACATTTGGAAAAGCTGCATGCTGCAGTGACTAAAGACTACCAACAATAGCAAGTCCCTTTGCCAGCCTAAGATTAATTTTCACGATTTCCAGGGTATTCTGGGTTTAACCCCAAAGTGAAAATTCTAGCACAAAATCCCATTGAATCAAATTAACTTTTACTGTACGGACAAAATCAGCTAAAGCAAAAAAAAAATCCTATTTGGTGTTTTACAAAAAAGGAAGATGCACAGGTTTGGAATGACATAAGAATTACACAGGAGGGCCATCTGGGGCAAGGTTCTTAGAGAAGTTTACACACAATGCTCAGGAGAAAAGAACAGGATTAACATCAGCCTCAAGCACTGAGCAGCTCTGGGCAGAGTTACTGTAACTCATCCAAGGTTTTGGGTTAAAGATAGACACATTTCGAAGAAATGCTTCATGCCAAGATGAGCCATTTATAACAGCCTGAATGGCAGATTTGCCTTAGGAAATTAAATGATATGGAAATTCACACAATGGCAAAAATAAAACAAGATCAAACTGCCTCATGCAGATCTTTGCACATTTAAAAAAACGAAAGCCTTGAATTTGTCTCGCAGTTTGTGTCTAGTGTGTGGGATCAGGAGATACTTACTAACCAAAAAGAACTCTTAATGTTTTCCAGTTGTGAATTGAATACAGAGATCCCCTGGAGTCATTTAAAAACAGAGAGCTGCTGGCCGCTGGCTGAAGATGGTGACGCACATCTATGATTACATTCTGCTCAGCGTGCCTATCCATCGACCATGCTTCCAGCCAATCAGGATGCAGAACAGTCTTGCCTGTCTCTTTCTCTTCTGTACCCTTCTCCTTCGCACATTTCCCCTCCTCCTCTACCCTTTCCCTCTCTCCATTCTCTCCTCCATCCCCCACAGCCAGTTCGACTCGTTCATTGTCCCTATTGTTCAAAGTGCTTGTGAATTCATTACAGGAAGCAGATGGACACTGGGACCACGAGATCTTCACACTGACAATCTCAGACAGGCAATTTGCTGTGGGGCCTCTCTCATTCCATCTCTTCCTGTCTGCTTCAATCTTGTGTTCTTGTGTTCCATCTACAGCTCCATCTCTCTTTCTCTCTCTCTCAAAATCACACATAAGTAAGCACATATGTACGGCACCACTTCTCTTTAAAGTGTTCAGAAGCTGGAGAAGAAACGGAATCTTTAATAAATTTATTACTGTATATGTCTGATGTGTTAGGGGTGGGAATCATCAGGGACACTGGCAGAAAAATATTATATCAGTATTAGGGTCATGAAATAATGGTGGTTTTTTATGTTAACAATTGTTTGCATGTGTTTCCTTCTTTTATTGTCACATCAGTAAAGGCCCCAATATACTTCAAACGAAATCGAAGAACGAACTGAAATGACGAAATTTTGAACAAAATCAGGCCGAAACGAAGTTCGTTTTTGCAGTTCGAAACAGCTCACCAAAGCGAACTTTTTGGGGGAGTTCGTTTTGCCTCCTAAACACCTTTGAGCTACCATTGGTCCATGGCGATTACGCAGTCGGTGGGTGTGTTCTGGAACTCCGCCTTCTTTGCAATTTCCCCCCCGGTTCGTTTCTCATTCTACGGAGGCCAGACAGAACACATCTCTGCGACTATCTTGTGGGCTGTGCACGGTCCAATTTTGAATGTTTCAGCCACACTTTGTTGCGTGGCCCCACAAGCTAGTACTCGGAGTGTCAAGGCCAGTCTCTCCATAGTGGCAATCTGTGTCCTGTGCGTTTTTGCATGTTTTACATATGGCGATACCCTTTTCAAGAGATCTTCAAACCACGTGGCGCACATTCTGAAGTATGAAAAATGCACTTCCTCATCTGTGCTCCTCATTTGCTGAATAAAAAGGGCAAACTCGCCATCATTCTTTCTGTTTTCGTTAAGTGGATGTACATACCATCTACATTGCTTGTTCTTGTTCTTTTTCTTTGCCACTGAATAGATCAATGCTACTGCCAGATATTTACGAAACTGTTCTTCTCTCACAGCCGCCATCGTTGTTGTGTTTAGGGGGTACACGCGGGCGGTGTGACACGTGTTTACAACCACGCCTCCAGCAGCGCGGGGGTGTCGGAATGTTCGAAAACAGTATACCGTCGCTTAGCCTTTTCTAACTTCTTTTTGCCCTCAAACGAAGAACGAAGAAGAACTTCGTTTGAAGTATATCAGGGCCTTAACAGTCTGGCTGCAGCTGAACCCGCTAATTTCCCTCTAGTTTCCTTTTAGATTACCCAGAATTCCATCTGTCAGTTTAACAAATATGAAAAGATCCTAGACTCTCTTAATAATTCTTTTCTTCCCGTAAATATTAGTGAATTATGTACACGTTCTATATACCCCCTATCTAAATACAAATTCCATTTGCATTTGTCTTGGGATGATATTCGTTTAATGATGCAATGAGAAAATGAGAAATTCTCAAAGGCGCACAGGGGTGAACTGCTGACAAAGCGCATTAGAGTCAGTGCCGAGGATGAGAGATGGTTCTTTATGATAAAACATTTATCAAGAATACACTTTGGGCAGCATTTGAGTCATTCTACTTAGTTTTAAGCCTGACATTAGTTTTGCCTCCTAAACACCTTTGAGCTACCATTGGTCCATGGCGATTACGCAGTCGGTGGGTGTGTTCTGGAACTCCGCCTTCTTTGCAATTTCCCCCCCGGTTCGTTTCTCATTCTACGGAGGCCAGACAGAACACATCTCTGCGACTATCTTGTGGGCTGTGCACGGTCCAATTTTGAATGTTTCAGCCACACTTTGTTGCGTGGCCCCACAAGCTAGTACTCGGAGTGTCAAGGCCAGTCTCTCCATAGTGGCAATCTGTGTCCTGTGCGTTTTTGCATGTTTTACATATGGCGATACCCTTTTCAAGAGATCTTCAAACCACGTGGCGCACATTCTGAAGTATGAAAAATGCACTTCCTCATCTGTGCTCCTCATTTGCTGAATAAAAAGGGCAAACTCGCCATCATTCTTTCTGTTTTCGTTAAGTGGATGTACATACCATCTACATTGCTTGTTCTTGTTCTTTTTCTTTGCCACTGAATAGATCAATGCTACTGCCAGATGTTTACGAAACTGTTCTTCTCTCACAGCCGCCATCGTTGTTGTGTTTAGGGGGTACACGCGGGCGGTGTGACACGTGTTTACAACCACGCCTCCAGCAGCGCGGGGGTGTCGGAATGTTCGAAAACAGTATACCGTCGCTTAGCCTTTTCTAACTTCTTTTTGCCCTCAAACGAAGAACGAAGAAGAACTTCGTTTGAAGTATATCAGGGCCTTAACAGTCTGGCTGCAGTTGAACCCGCTAATTTCCCTCTAGTTTCCTTTTAGATTACCCAGAATTCCATCTGTCAGTTTAACAAATATGAAAAGATCCTAGACTCTCTTAATAATTCTTTTCTTCCCGTAAATATTAGTGAATTATGTACACGTTCTATATACCCCCTATCTAAATACAAATTCCATTTGCATTTGTCTTGGGATGATATTTGTTTAACGATGCAAAGAGAAAATTAGAAATTCTCAAAGGCGCACAGGCGTGAACTGCTGACAAAGTGCATTAGAGTCAGTGCAGATGATGAGAGATGGTTCTTTATAATAATACATTTATCAAAAACACTTTGGGCAGCATTTGAGTCATTCTTCTTAGTTTTAAGCCTGAAATTAAACCAAGGTTCAAACACTGATACAACTTTTCCACCAAAATGGTGCCGTGTGCAAGTTTGCTTCGGAAGTTTCCAATGCAGAAAGTTTTGTTGATAATGGAAAGCAAGGAAAGCAGTTTTTAAATCAGTCTAGACTAGTTACTGGTTTCTGTTTTAGAGCATCTTATTTTCATGGAAATATCTAAAGGGTTTCAAGAGTGGACACAGTTGGTAGAATAGGGGATTGAGACTACTAAAGCACCAAAATATTTT